ACAATATTAGTATCCTATAAATAGATTTGAGTCATCAGAATATTTTGTAATCACCTATTTTACTCATTAAACCAAACTAAGATTAACTGATGTTTTGCCTTTGAAGACAATCTCCATAGCTTTAAAACAGATACAAGTTTACATAAAACATTTTCAAAAACTAAAAGAAGATTTAAAGAAACTACAAAAACTTCTTAGATCAGTGGTTTGTTCCTAAATATTCTAAACTTCCCATTAGATTCCATTATTCTTCTTTGTGGGAGCTAGGTCTTGTCACTTTCCATGAAACCATACATTACATCTCATGCTACTTTATTCACTCAACATTAACATAAATGGTTTTGTAGTCTGTTCTATCCAATGGTATTATAAACTTTGCCTGTAGTTATTTTCAAAGCTGTATTTATAAAGTAAGCGAAAGAGAAGGAAAATCACATAAGAAACAAAACAAAGGTAATTTACTCAAGGAATAATAGTTTAAAAATATATAAACCTTAATAATAGTTTAAAAAAATATAAACCTATGCTTTGTGATGGGCAAAAAAGTACTGTTTATACACAATACTCCTCAGAGCTTTGAAGAAGTTATTGAAAAAAAATTAAATTTTTTTTCTTTGTAAATTACACATATAAATGTTACAAAATGACAAATATTAATTCTAAAAATATTTTTGAGTTAAAAATGATTGAAATACAGGTATCCCTCGATTAATGCATTTTCGTTTAGTGCGCTTAAATTTTTCTATAACCAATATTCGATTAGTGCGTGGATAATACTCGATTAGTGCGGTAACACACATTTCATTTTAACCATAGTAATTGAAAAGTAAGTTTTAGGCACTGAAATTAATTTTTTTTTAAAATTAAAAATAGAAAATGGGTAACTATTTTACTTGTCTAGTTATTACTAGAGTATCCACCACGGGGCCCCCGACCCCATCACCCCGGGGTATTTTAGCGATTTTTTCACCCATTGCCCCGGGGTAAAATACTTGAAATACCCTGGGGCAAATCTTTACTATTTTACTGAACAAACATCTTTTTCATAACAATAATTCATAAAAACCATTGTCCTCATGATGATCGTCTTTGTTTATAGGAAACGCACCATAGATTTGAAATATAAGTCAGTGAAAAGGGTAAAACCTTTG